GCTGGTCTCTCTGCTGGTCTCTCCGCTGGTCTCTCCGCCTTCCTCTTCCACACAGGTTTGAGGTTGACGGCGAGTAGATCCTTTTTGGGGTTCTTTTTTAGGCTGGAGACGAGCTGGCTCCAGTTCACCGGCTCCACTCCGATGAAAGTCATTCCTGTTTCTCCCGGCCCGTCTCTGGTAAATAAAAAATCCGTCTAGAGCGGTCACATCTAAAGTTGGGGGAGGAGGCGGTTCCGAAATCCAGGCCGGTCCAATCCGGCTCTTTTTCCATTGGGGCTGCGACCCGTGGTCCTGGAGCGCGCAGCCGTGCAGGGGCCCTCCAGTGGGTCCTGTGAAAGGTGAGTTGGTCCGGGTGAGTTTGTTTGATTCCTGTTGGTGTGTGGTTGTCATGTGGCGAGGGTTCCCGTCACTCTTGGTGACGTCACGATTTGTGCCGGCCCCTCGAGGGAATCCCTGGCCCTTGGAATGACCGTCGACTGTGGTTGGAATGTATCCATTTGGTGGTTCAGGTTGTCCTTGATGAATTTGTGGGCCTGGAGGATTGTTTTAGGTTTTAGCCTTCTCCGGGCCCAGACAACCATCACCTCAAAGGGGGATGTCCAACCGAACTCTGGCAGTTCCGCTTATTGTTGTAATAAAAGTGTCATCATGTCCTCGTAATGTTGCTGGAGGATTTTTCATGTAGTCATTTCCCAGTAGTGGGCCTTACCATCCAGCAACCAGTACGTCTCTTCGCTTGGAGAGGCGGGTTTTATTAAATTTGCCAGGTTCATAGTCTTTGTTTTAATGTTCGGTGGGGCCTCCCTTCCACCGACATTCGAAGCATGGTGGACGGCCCCTATAATCCCATTTAAAAGTATCACTTTGGTCGAAAAGTGCGGGACCATCGGATGCCCTCCATTGTTTGTGCCTCCGTTTGAATTAAAATGAGTCATACATTTGGAAATGTATGTACAGGTATTCGGATTTTAGCTACACACCAGGTGATTGCTTAGGGGTGTGGTCTTACCTTATTTAACAGATACAGGTGATGGTTTTTTGCAACTTTTTCTTTTGACTGTCATCTCTTAATCGCTGTCATTATAGATTATTATTTTGAACGTCATTTGACAGATCTGAAAAGTGATGCATGCAAGTTTATTGTCATATGGTTTAAAATAAATACCCAAATGCCAATAGAACTTATCTGGTTTATTAGAGATAACTCACAGAACAAAACCTACTCTAACTATATCAAATTAATTTAGCTGACACTTGTTACATTGAAATAGGTCAGAAAAGTGGGGGGCACATTCATTGTGTGTCCACCTTGGACAGAAGTCACACTGTATCTGCAAGGTAGAAAGAAAAAGAAAGTAAAATGAGTTAGAAGTGTACTGCAAAGAAACTATTAAATTTCTACAGTAGGATTTTTACCATATAAGTGACTTTCTGGTTCCCATCATGGTCCAGCATGTTGCAGGAGACGCAGTAGTCTTCCACCTTGTCGGGAAATAAAGTAAATTAAGCATTTACTATCAATGTTGCTATTTCAAATTTAGATTTTTCTCTAATAGTAAAATTGAAATAACAAATGTAGAACTGCCGTATGCAATACATTTCCAAATCTCTTAGTTTTATGCCCGCTAGTTAATGATTTACAGTTTAATACTTTGAAAATGGGTTTATTGGTAATTGATATTTTTCACCTTTGTGTGGCAACAGGGTGGTTGTCTGGCCTCCAGCAGTTCATCATGGCCAGTGCCTACTGACTGCAAACTTCCCTCCTTTAAATATTGTTCTGCAAACTAACAGCATTTAAAGGTTACCATTTGATTGATTTAGAAAAATTTGTGTCTGTGTTCCTTGTACTTTCAAAATCAAGACCCAGAAACTGCTGGAATCCTTGTGATTTAAATGTGGCAGACAGCTTACTCTCCATTCCCTCTGGCTGGCCTTTTTTGTTTTCAGAAAGTTTCTGTGCAGTTGCAGAAATTATTACTTTAGGGGCATTGTAGCCAACAGAAAAGTGCACAAGAACAAATTGATTATGAATTCATTCACATCACCTCCAGTTTCGCAGAAGTCTTCTTTCATAAGCGTTTTCCCGGCCCTTGGGGTCTATCACGACAATATTTCTGTGGTCTGACCTGACAACCTATTGGAAACCAGAAGTACATACTGTTACGGATTTGGCGCGTTGAGATGAAAGATTTAAAGGGATTTATTTAGGTGTGACGCTATATATATATATATATATATGTGTGTTTGAGGGGGAGATGGAGACATCCAAGATACACATAAATATAATAAAACAAGTTGGATTCATCTATTATTAGAAATAAAGTTAACATACCACTAAGAGCCAGTGACCTCCCACATTTACAGGGCAAATGCAAATGGAGGCCTCTGGTAGCGCCATCTTTTGAAATGACAGAAAACACCCTTAAGCTTAGCTCTTGTTCATATGGTGTAAGATATCATAGCAAATAATTACCTTAAGAACAGCCCGATATGGCCCACGGTGAAAGATTGATGATGCCACAACAGCATCCATTCTCTCTACTGGTATCGGAAATAAAAAATATCATCTTTACAAGAGAAATGGATAAAAGATTTCCTAAAGAGAATCTTTATACCTTGCTCTTCTCAAGGAGAAGATACAAATATGCATCTATGACCTGTTAAACCAAACAAAAACAAAAAAAATGTAAATTATTTTGACTGACTGCACAGGAGAAATCCAAACTTCAAAGAGTAAGTGGTCTTACTTCATCTGACAGCCAGCCATGTGCACAGATTGTTCAGAAAGATGTGTCATACAACTTGTATGGCCCAACCAGTGCCTCCATTTGCCCAGAGTCTTTTAAGGACCAAAGTGTGAGTACTATAATAAAAACAAATATTGTTAATCCTTATACATGTTAATAGTAATACCTTATACATGTGAAAAAAATCCAACTCCATTTCTGAAGAAAAATGAGAACACATGCAGACAAGACCAGGAACAGGTCATTTCACAAACATTTAGTTGATTCCTCTGCCCGGACAGAGGATTGAGCACGGGTTACCCTAACCCTAACCCTAACCCTAACCCTGCCGCCTCCCAGGGGAGCGCTCCAACCGGGGCTGGTGGAGCTGCTGCCGTCTGCGGCCATATCTGACCTCCGTCCACTGATTAGCTATTTTTGGGATTATTTTTTTAATTAAAATTTTTATTATTAATTGAAATCAAAT